CGAGGACACGGGCTGGGGCCCTGGGACTGGCGGCCGCAGGGGGTCACGAGGTAGGAGGGAACCGCCGCCTGCAGAGACAGGCCCCCTCCGGTCCCCGCGCATGGGGGGCATGACGGGGCGAAAGTGCCCGGGCCTGCCCGCCCCGCGTGCGGAGGGTCGTGGGACCCGGCGGCTGGAGCGGCTTGGGGAAGGGGGCTTGGGCGAGCTCAGCCCCACCCGGAGGCTTTAACCCCTCTCTGCCGGAAGAGGAAGCCCCGCGCTATTGAGGGGGAGGGGACCCGCCCCCTGGGGATAGTGGAATCAGCTGAGGCCCTTGGCTCGCGCCCAGACTCCTCCCCTCCAGGAACCCGCGGCGTCTTCGCTGGGGGTCCGGGGAGGGTGGCATCGGGAAGGGAGTTTGGAGTCTCCGCCTGGCTCAGAAGTTGCAGCTGGAGGTGCCTCGGACCAGAGGATGAGTTTGGAGGGGCGCTGCCCACTCTGGGGACACGGGAGAGAGGGGCTCTGAGGGCTTTGGGTAGTCGAGTCCGAGGTGGGCAGTTTTCAGTCTTTCGCTGCCTGGGAGTGGTGGGGAAGGAGTTAAAATGTGTCTCAAAAAAAGGGAAGACGAGCTCCCTGGGGGTGTGAGCTGAGGCTGCAGTAATGGCTGCGGCCTGCTTTAAAGAACCTGGCAGGACTGGGCGTGTGGGGCTCAGGGAGGCTTGGGGCAGGGGGCGCTGGGGTTGTCGCGGCCCGGCCCCAGTCCCCATACTAGGGTTTCTGAGAATTGTGATTCGGCCACATACTGGCCCCAAACGCGCATCCTAAGAGAGGTCAGCGAGGAAGTGTGGCCAGGCAGCCTAGGTACCGCCCCGCGTCCGGAAGAGAGCCCCCTGATGGATCGCAGCATCCCAGAGGCGCGAGTGCAGACGGAGGGCTGGAGCCTGGAGCTGCGGGTACCCCGTGGCCACATGTTTGGGCACTCGCTTCCCTTTCCAAACATGCTTGGCGGATGACCTCTGCCCCTTCCTCCACCCCATGGTTCCTGGCTCCTCATCGGACAGGGCAGGACCTTCAGGCCCCCGCTGGGTGTTTCGGTGTGATGGTTTCCTAGCCAGCATGCACCCCTGAGCTCCCGTCTGCCCAGGCTCTGGGCCTAGAGTCTGGCCTCTAGTTAGATCAGGCATTGACTCGGGCTCTTGGGTCCCTTGGAAGCATAGTGCATAGTGCCTGGACTCTGATCCTGCAGCCCCGGGTGGCTTGGCTTCTAGGCATTTCCATCTGGGAGGTGTCTCCAGGGTAAGGCCAAGAGGAGGAAGTTCCTGCTGCTCTAATGGCTCAGCCTCCGTGTCCCCTCCAGTCCCCAGGGAAACTCTCCTCATGGAGCGTTTCTGAAAGCCATGCTCCTGGCCAGAGACCCACAGGTCCCCGGGTGGGTTCCACTTCCTGGTCAGGAGGGCTTCCCCTGGACCTGCATCATATCTAAAACAGGAACAGAGCTCAGGAGTCACAAATGACACTGTCAGGGGCAGAGTTTCTGAGAGGTACAGGGAGTGCGCCCCCCACCCCGTGCATTCCCCTTTCTAATACTCAATCTGCCACTTCAGCTTGCACATCCTAAAAGTGCAAGCAAAATTTCCCTTTAAAGAGGCTTCCCAAGAAAAACCACCCCTTGTGGACTTCAGTGGGAGTTCCAGCATCAGGGGAACCTGTGTTCTCGGATCTCCAGGGCGCCGGCACTGGTATTTCTGCCCACCTTGTGCATAACCACAGTAGAGTGTCTTTCAGAAAGAAATGAAGAATTGGGACCCCTGGGCTCTGTTCCTATGCCCACTACTGACTCTCTGAATCACCTTTGCCTGTTCATTTGGCATCTGTTTGTCTCAGCTTTTCCCCCCTTTGGCTTTTTCTACTCGCTATATGAGGTCTGACTGTAAATAGAAATGGAGTTGATATGTCTAGCCACTCAGCAGGCTAATGTGAACTGGAAAAAATAATTATATAGAGACTTCACAGTGCTTCTAAGAACCTAAAACTGATCTTTTGAGTTCTTCTGAAAAAGTTGTGATGTAGAAAGTAGGAGATGTTTTGCCTGAGGGAACCAAGAGCCATTTTCAAATATTTCAAGCCGTTTAAAGCCATTTAAATATGTAAAGGCTGTCACATGGAAGAACGCGCATCTCGGGGTACCCAAGCCTCTGGAACAAGGGATGGGAGTTACAAGAAGATGGATTTTTGACTCATTATAAAGAACTCTCAGAGAGCTGGAGCCCACCCGAGAGGGAATGAGCCAGAGCGAGAGGGAATGAGCCAGAGCGTATTCAAGTGAGGCCAGAGTTTAGACCACATGACTTTGGGGTTACCTCTAACCTTAAATGAGGAGCTTGTGAGATCAGCAGGCATTAGCAGGGAAGTGAAGTCATAACCTGGTTCCAGCTTAGCTTTGGTTCACAGCTGAACTGGAAATATGGGTGCCCAGGAGCCTGGTTCCCTGGCGGTCCTCCTACCCAGGAGCACATTCAGCCAGGCTAGGCTTTTCCTTTATCCGGGAGCCTGTGGGTCTTCTAGTTCCCAGAGGTGCGAGATGGGTCCTCATGCTATATCCAGGCCATTTCCAAGCACTCTGTGAGCCTTATTTGCCAGTTTCTAGAAACAAAAACCCTTCTCCCCATTTCACAGAAGGAAAATTTGAGGCCCAGAGAGGTTGAAGTGCCTTGTCCAAGCTCCTCCATGATGAGTAATTAACAAAAACTGGGCTTTCTTCTTCAGACCTTAATTTCTTCATGAGCCCAGATGAGGAGGAGTGGACTTTGGTCCAGCAGATGCCCCCACCCTGGCACCCTGCTGGGGTTTGAGACTTAGACTGCATGTGGTTAGGGTCTCCATCCTTAGGGAGAATAGAAGCCGTCCTCCTTCAGGGCACTCCTTTCTCTCAGTGATTCCTAACTTTTAGGGCTCTTGGGCCCTTTTGATATCTGATAAAAATAAGAGACCCTTAGGGCGCCTGGGTGGCTCAGTCGGTTAAGCGTTCAACTCTTGGTTTCCGCTCAGGTGATGATCTCAGGGTCGTGAGATTGAGCCCCGAGTCAGGCTCCACACTGGGCGTGGAGCTGGGTTAAGATTCTCTCTCCGGGGCGCCTGGGTGGCTCAGTTGTTAAGTGTCTGCCTTCGGCTCAGGTCATGATCCCAGGGTCCTGGGATCGAGCCCCACATCGGGCTCCCTGCTCGGCCAGGAGCCTGCTTCTCCCTCTCCCACTCCCCCTGCTTGTGTTCCCTCTCTAGCTGTCTCTCTCTCTCTGTCAAATAAATAAATAAAAAATCTTAAAAAAAAAAAATTCTCGGGGCGCCTGGGTGGCTCAGTTGGTTAAGCGACTGCCTTCGGCTCAGGTCATGATCCTGGAGTCCCGGGATCGAGTCCCGCATCGGGCTCCCTGCTCGGCGGGAAGCCTGCTTCTCCCTCTGACCCTCTCATGCTCTCTCTATCTCGTTCTCTCTCTCAAATAAATAAATAAAATCTTTAAAAAAAAAAAAAATTCTCTCTCCGTTTGCCCCGCACCCCCTGCTTGCTCTCTCTCCCTCTAAAAAAACAAAAACAAAACACACATTAGAAACCCTTTCCCCAGAGAAATGTCCATACAAACAGAAATTTTGCACATGCAGATTGGGTGCAATTTCAGGGGGTTCAGGGACTCTCTGAAGTTCATCGGTGGCCCACAGGTTAGGAACCCTTGCTCCACCTTGTTACGAGCATCAGTCATGGGGACTCACTTCTCACTTCCAAGGGCCTTAGTGAATGAGTCTGGGTGATTCTTGCAGATAAAAGGGAATCAATCCCTCTCATTCAGATGGGACCTCAGGAGTCTTCACTCAGGCCTACAGGCTCTGAATAAGAAATCATTATCTCCTACATCTTGGCTAATGGTCAGAGCCCCTGACTTCTGTATGTGACATGAGGTAAATTATTCCTGCCACCTGGCAGAAGAAAATGGCATGGTACAGAGACAAGGCTGTCACCCTCAGATTCAAGGTTAAATAAGCCCCATCTCCTGCATCTGGGGGAGGAGGGTGGTAAGCAGAAGTGTCCTACATGGGAACATGAAGATGACCTTGGAGGGAGTTTGGCCTGGCCTTACTTCAGGCCTGGGGCTAGTTTAGAGCAATCTAGACATCTTGGAGATGATTCAGAGGGGGAGACATGAAGAACATTGGAATTTGAAAATGGGGCGCCTGGGTGGCTCAGTTGGTTAAGCAACTGCCTTCGGCTCAGGTCATGATCCTGGAGTCCCGGGATCGAGTCCCACATCGGGCTCCCTGCTCAGCAGGGAGTCTGCTTCTCCCTCTGACCCTCCTCCCTCTCATGCTCTCTGTCTCTCATTCTCTCTCTCACAAATAAATAAAATCTTAAAAATAAATAAATAAATAAAAGAATTTGAAAATGGGTTATGGGATATGGAATTATAGTCAACTTCTTATTCAGCAAACATTTGCTAATGTTGTTAATGGGGGCATGGTTCCCCTCCCCAGGAAGCTCTCAGTCTAGTGGGAGACAACATGAGTCAACAGGGAATGTAGAGTATGGATTATTCGCCCTAACAAACAGAGTATAGTGCACATAAACCAGAACCATGGATAATCAAGAAATTTCTTCGTGTGCAGTGCATTTTGGGGTGGCCTATTTACCTTCCATCAAAATATTTACTGCTCATTTGAAGATACATCTGCTTCCCTTGAGATTCCCCCCTGTTTGCCCTGACCTGTTTGAGGTCCTTCTGCTGGCAGCTGATTGCTCTTCTGCTCCACTGGAGACTCAGTGCAGTAAAGGGGCTTCCGTTGCGACAGAGAGATGGTGGTTAGACCTTAGGAGGAATTTTTTCTCTGTCTAGGCTGAGAGACTTTGAGGCGGGCAGGAGAAGACAGGGCCTCTTATTCACAGGAGAGCCGCGTGGAGTGGGTGGACACCTGAGTTGTTGATGGCTGTCCTGCCTGAAAGCAAGGGACTCTCAGGAGATGGCCCCATGCCCCTTGCAGAGGGTGCCTGTGACGCTCTGGCCTGGCCTCTGCTTTATTCTTGGCAGCCCTTGCCTGCCAGGGACACACATCTGGGTTCTGTCGACTTGGACCCCTTTTCCAATTCTGACTCTTCCTTCCAGTCAGGACAGTTCAATGAGGATATGATCCCCACTGTGGGTTTCAACATGCGCAAAATCACCAAAGGGAATGTGACCATCAAGGTGAGTGGCAGGAAGCCAAAAACTCTGGGCACACGCTCGGGGCCACAGAAGACCACCTGTGTGCCTGCTGGGGCGGGGCCCCCAGAACGAGTTGGGGAGGGTATCTGAGACCCCTGGGAGGAGAAGCTGAAGGAGGGCAGAGGCTTGGAGAGGTGGGAAAAGAGCACAGAACTTCTGAGGCAGTCAGAGGGGTGTAGGCACAGGAGGGATGGAGAGCAAACCAGTCCCTGGGTGGGGGAGGGGGACGGGGAGCCAAGATGGGTTTGGTTGCCTGCCTGCTGCTGAGACCATGTTGCCCTCTTCTCACTCAGCTCTGGGACATCGGGGGACAGCCCCGGTTCCGCAGCATGTGGGAGCGCTACTGCCGAGGAGTGAGTGCCATTGTGTAAGTGCAGGGCCGGGTTGGATACGGGGCTCAGCCTCCCCGGCTTCCCCCCCAGCCTCACTGCCTGCGGGGACCCCTCCCCGGCTTCCCCCCCCACCTCACTGCCAGCGGGGACCCCTCCCCGGCTCCCCCCCCCCAGCCTCACCGCCTGCGGGGACCCCTCCCCAGCTTCCCCCCCCACCTCACCACCTGCGGGGACCAGAGGCACAGAGCTGGATTAGTCACAATCCTTGGTTCAGGGTACACTTTCCGGTCCATACGAAGCCTGCCTTTGCTTCGCGTGCTGTGTGTTTCTTGCCTGCAAAACGCTCTGAGCACCTCCCGGCCAACCTGAGAGCCAGAGCATCAACCAGCCGAAAGTACCTGTGTCTCCCTGCCTCCCCCACCCTAGAGTCACCACTATCCTGAAATTTGTATAATTTAAATGATTTGTTCCCTTGCTTTTTAAAAATAATTTTATCCTACATATATATGCCCAACAAAAGATTGTTTTGTTTTTGTTGTGTTTGACCTCATTTTTTAGAAGTATCTTGCTGTAAGAAAATCTGGGGCTGCCTTTGCTTTGTTCACTCAACCAGGGCTAGTCTTCCCGTGGAGACCGAAGAGGGTCATTTTGGAAGGGATTTTCACCTAATCTTAAAGGGCCAGGCTTCACCCCTACGTGACAGCTTGTCCAGAGGGGACTTTGGGATGACAGGATGATGACAGGCCGTGGGGGAGGCCCCTAGCCCATAGATCCAGAGATGCCCAAGCCCCAGCAAGATGTTTCCTCCTGCGAGCGCAGCTTCTCTTCCTACCTCTCGGCCTGTAGTGTCCTCATGCTTGTCCCCACCTGCTGTCCCCCAGGTACATGGTGGACGCTGCTGACCAGGAGAAGATTGAGGCCTCCAAGAATGAGTTGCACAACCTACTGGACAAACCCCAGCTGCAGGGCATCCCGGTCAGCAGCCTAATGGAGTGGGAGGGGAGGGAGCCAGCTGGGAAGTCACTGGGGGCAGGGCGGGAGGCAGGTGAAGGCGGTCGGGGTGGGGGGAGGGGAAATGGCTATCCTGGCGCAGCGGCCCTGGACCTAGTCCCTGTCCTCCCTTCTCTGTAGGTCTTAGTCCTGGGTAACAAGCGAGACCTTCCGGGAGCATTGGATGAGAAGGAGCTGATTGAGAAAATGTGAGTTTGGTTATTCTCTGTCCTTCCTCCCTGCTCCCCAAATTTCCCAGGCAACGGAGAGACGGCTTGCTGCTGCTCTCAGTATCCGCCACACGGTGGCAGCAGAGCCCACCTCGCCAGGAGCCTCGCCCTCCCGGTGTAGCTCCTTCGGCAGGAAAAGGACTCTGTTGCCCCCAGCCCCAGGCCCCTTGGGCAGTCCTAGCCTCAGCAGGTTCTCCTCTGGCTCCCCCGCAGGAATCTTTCTGCCATCCAGGACCGAGAGATCTGCTGCTACTCCATCTCCTGCAAAGAAAAGGACAACATTGGTGCGCGTGGGTATGGGGGAGTTGCTGACGTTCTGGGAACAGCCACAGGGCGAGGGGAGGAGCAGAGAGGCACTCCTGGGGATTCTCTTACAGTGGCTCTCAAAGCTTTTCCCTCCACAACTTTCCTTGAAGCCCAAAGCTCGAATCTTCTCCTGGGGTGGGACCAGTATCCAGGGAGCTCAGATTCTGAGCATTACCCCAGCCCTGCCCTTGACTGGTTGTGTGATCTTAGGCCAATCACTCCCTTCCGTGGGCCTCACGTCCCCACACTATAACATCACAGGGTTGGATCAGGCAGTCCCCGCTGTGACATCCCACGGCTCCGGCTTTCCCAGCACCCACACACCCCCCCGCCACGCATCTGGGGCTGTTTGGAGCTTGATGGCTCTGGGCTTCTGGTGCCCTTAGAGCTGATCCCCAGTTGCAGTTTCGGAAGCCCTGGGCTTATGCCACGCCCCTGGGTGTTTGCTCCCCACCTCCCCAGTCCGCCCAGCCCGGGAAGGCCTCTAAACTTCTCCGTTGTCCTCCACCCAGACATCACCCTACAGTGGCTTATTCAACACTCAAAGTCACGGAGAAGCTGAGACCGCGGTCCTTCCCCCTCGGACCAGGGACCTGCTGTCATCCAAACCCGAAGCCGAGCTCCCCGCCCACCCCGCCGTCCCCCCTAAGCCTGCCCCTCCTCACTCAGCGTGGGGAGGGGCCCTCTGGGGATCCCAGAGTCCTGTTCTGCTGAGGTTTGAACTCCTGATTTTATTGTAAAATAAACTGCTCCCATTCTGGTCCCCTAACCTCTGGCCCTCCCCCTTCCCTCTGCCCCCCCCGCTTCCGTCCCCTTAACAGCCCAGGCCCCACAGCCCCTGCCCTCCACTCTCCCGTGTCCCACCCCTACGCTGCCCTTTTCAACACTCTTCTGTTATTGTCCTGTGTGTACAGTATATATATGTATATATATTTTAATTTTTTAATTTAAGCAAAGACTAAAATCAACCATTTGATGCTGCAGGGGCCCATCAGGATCTGGGAGGGGGGCGGTGTGGAAGGAAGGCAGGAGAGGCAGGGCTGGCTCTGGGCAGGTTGAGATTAGGAAAGTGAGAGCCCCTAGGGCAGGTACCAGCCTGGGCACTGGTGGCCGTCCCCATGTCCCGTTTGTTTCCACTTCTCAGTCTGGCTTGTCCCTGCAGTGCTTGAATGTCACAGGCTGACAGGAGCGTCCAGAGGTGCCCCTCTCTGCCCCCAGTCTCAGTAGGGCCACCGGGCACACCCGAGTGCCAGAGACAACCGGGCCAAAGGGGCAGGAGGCCAGCCTCCACGCGGCCCCGGCAGCCCCTCCTGCCCCTTCCTAGGGCCCCCAACTCCATGGGCCACCTCATTTTCTGTTCTCATTTTGCAGAGTTGCACAAGGAGAGAACTCAGCATGGGGGGTTGGTTCTTTGGGTTTTGTTTTCTGTTTATTTGTTTAATTTAATGATTTGTAAAGTGACGTTCCTCTTCCTTTTTTACACTTTTAGCTCATATTTAACCTCTGTTTGGAAAATGATTCTTGTAACTGTACATTTTTTTGCCTCCTAACAACAAGAATAAATGACCAGTTTTGTGTTGGGGGGGCGTCCGGGGCTGGTTATTTGTCTGTAGACACCGCGGGAGGACTGGCGGGCCCGCACACTGGGCACAAACAGCCACAGAGAGCAAGGCACGCGCTCATGCTGGACACACAATGGCACCTCACAAAGCAGCCTCCCGCACGTGTGCCTGGGCCTTGCCCGGCCTCCTCCTCCCTCCCTCGTCAGACTTGCATGCGGTCCCGGCTCGGAGCTTGCAGCTGCCAAGGGGAGCCCAGCAAGTCTGTGGGCTGGGGGTCAGCATGGCAGGAGTGTGGGGCTGCATCCCGATGTGTGCAGGCCTGAGCCTCTGGTTCCCAAGAGTCCATTCAGAACCCCACCTGGCAGCCAGAGCTGGGCCGAAGCCGGAACTCTGTCCCCACCCATGATGAACCAGTTACTTGTCCTCTAGGGCCTTTAGGGCCCGATGGCATCCCTCCTTCCCTGCTCCCCTCCTAGTGTCAGTGCTCCTGGTTTTCTGGGAGAGGGTGCCCCATTATCCCTTTGCCCAATCTCAGTCCTCTCCCCCGCTTGACCCCAACCTCAGAGCTGGTCCCCCCTCCTCCTCACCCACAGCTGCTGCCGTAGAGCCTTGTGGGCCCTGCTTACCCAAATCCGGGGCCATCTTGACCCAGTTTTGCAGCAAGCCCCGCCTCCCCCCTGCTTGCCCCCCCCCCAGCCTCCCTCCCCGCCGGAAAATGGAGCAGGCCCCTACAGCTGCTCCATGCCCTCTCGTCCTGCCTCTGTAGGAAGAAGGAGCCACAGGGTTTGCTAAGATCTGGGAGCAGGGAGCCCAGGGCTCAGAGTTCTGAGCCTGTTGGCTCTGAACTTCACCAGCCCTTTCTTGGGGCCCAGGGCTTCCTCCTGGAGGCACTTTTCTCGTCAGAAATCACTTGCCTCAGGGGAGTCTGAGGAAAGAACGTGCATGGAATTTGGCAAAGGGAGCAAAATGATTTTAGGGTGTCTTCCAGCTCTAAGGAATAGGAAATGTGCCCCCTGGTTAAGGAGGTCGAAGCTGGGGCCAGCCTGCCCCTGTGCTCCCCTTTCTGCAGAGGCTGCCCCCGGCCTGGGAGGCCGGAAGAGGCCTGTCACTCATACGGGGAGCAGGACGGGGGCAGGTGTCAGGGTTGACCTGCCTTTCCCCGTCCTGAATCCCCCGATGAGGGGCAACATCTGAGATTAGTCAGGATGAGCTGGTGACGAGCAAGTAGGCATCCTCCTACTGCCCTGTCTGCACACAGCAGGTGCCTAATAGGGCCTGAAGAACTTGTGAAACTTGGGCAGGGAACAGACTTGGGCGTCTATCTGTAAATCCTCATGCTTGGGGCCCTTTGAAGCGCCAAAGCCTGGATGAGTTTTGAGAGTACCCTGGCCAAGCCTACTCTGTAGTACTAGAGAATTCATTTCCCAAAAGGAGGAAAGGAAGAAAAGGTGCCAGGCGTCATGCCAGATGCTTTATGTATCTTGTCCTATTTAACAACTGTAGTCCTCTGAGAGAGGGGTTATTCCCATTTTATGGATGAGGAAACTGAGAGGCTCAGTAACCATCCAGTCTGATTGGAGGGAGGCGATTCTCACCGCGAAGCGCTGGTGCTCTCCCAGCGGAGGGGGAGGCTCAGTGGGTTGCCCTTCCCCCCCCACCCCACCCCACCCCACCCCGGATCAGGGGTCTGAGGGCTGGTCTAAAGTCCGCCCTGATGGAGAGGGAGAATGTCTGCGCTGCCTGTGAGCATCCCAGCTCAAATCCACCGCCCACCACTGTGCCAACCTGCTCCCCCATCCCAAGCCTGGGACCCCTAAGCAACAAATGCCACATTGTTCCCCCAGCTGGCCCAGGCTGGAGGGACAGTGGCTCTTTCCCAAGGCCCTGCTGGCCTGCTGACTAATCTTGCAAGCCACTCACGTTGGCAGGCGTGGGAGGCCGAGGTGGTGGCTGGGCCCCGGAGACACCATCCCCCCACCTCCCTTCAGCTCTGAGCTGGCCAACCAGCAGGAGGGAGAGACAGGGATGTGTGTGTGTGGGGGGGTGCCCTCTGGAAAAGGCCTCCCAAACAGGATGCTGAGGCTCCCCCCCTCCCCTTTCCTCAGCCTTCCATCCTCAGCCCTCTCCCGGTGCCAGACTTTACCTCAGTTCACCCCAGGCCCCCTCCCTACATCCCATGGGAAGCTCCTGGTGAGTCTAGGACTGGGGGTAGGAGTGGGGGTAGAGAGGAAGTTGGGGGGTGTGGGAGAAATGGCCCTGGTGACCTCAGTGCCGCAAGCCTGCCTTTGGCCCCCTCTCCAACCTGCCCCCCACCCACCCATCTTAAGTTTCTACAGACAAAGCCGAAGGCTCCAGTCGCTGTGGCAACAGGTCTGCTGAGAGATGGGTGGGTGTCATTCCTCAGCACATGGCGGCCTCATCACTTAGCAACGGCCTCCCTCTCTCTTGGCGTCACCCATCCTGGGGGTGGGTGCCAGGAAGAGAGAACAAGGCCATTAAGATCCCCAAGAGAGGGCGGGGGGAAGGAGGCTTGGGTCCGGGCCGGGCTGAGGCCAATGGGTGTGGGTGGGGTAGACAGAGGAGAATGGGGCCCAGTGCACTCAGCAACCACTGTCCCTCTTTATCCCGGGTCCCTGGGGCCCTTCCAAGGCCCCCTGTAGAGGTTCTAGGTAGACCTGGCAGCCAGAAGTTGCTGGTGGGACCCGCAGCTGCACTTTGGATGGGGAAGGGTGGTTCTGAAGGAAGCTGGGCTTAGGAGGCAGGGAGTGATTTGTGGCCTAGGCCAAGGTGTCCCTTCTGGTTGACCTCGGGCCAGCTTCTCTGGGCCCAAACAAGGTTAAGGGGGCCTTTGCAAGGGCCCCAGAGGGGGACCTGGTGGAAGTGGGACACCTGGGGCAGGACCAGCAGGAGGAGCTGAAGGGTCCCTGTGGGCACAGGATGGAGCTCTGGCTGCCAGGAAGGGGGTGTGGTGGGGGCAGGATGGGGGCAGACGGGGAACAGGCAGCTGGGCCGTCTACAGGCAAAACAGTCTGTTCTAAGAAACTGAACAAGAGCAGCTCTCTCAGAGTCAGAGGGGCTGGAACCCCCAGGGCTCACAGAGGGAAGGCTGCTGTTTTCTCTAAAATGGGGGCTTTGTGGAGAGCGAGGAGCAGAGGTGGGGGCTCCAGAAGCCTTTTGACTTCCCAAGGATGCTCAGGCTCACGTCAGGATGAAGACTTAGTCTCTACTTCCCAAGCCCTCCCTCCACTCTGCCCCTCAAAAGCCATAGGGCTGTTGGGCTGGGCAGGATATCAGCCACAGGCCAGAAGGGGCCAGAGGGGGCCAGGAGGAATCCCCCTAGGGTCCCACCTGTCCTGGAGAAGGGCCAGGTGCATCTGGGCACTGTCAGGGTGTAGCACAAGAAACTCCAGTGGGCACAGGGATAGTTCTACCTAGTTTATTGTTTTTGAAGAAGGGCCTGCTACAGAGGGGGACCCACCAAGGGAGGTGGGGACAGGGCAACCCAGGATATGTCAAAGAAGGAAGAGGAAGGAGAGAGAAATCCTCTGGAAGGAGGGGAGTTGCCAGGAGGAAGAGGAGGTGTCCAAGGCTGGGGAAGATCTGGTCCAGAGAAGAGCCAGGTAGGGCTGACCCCCAAAGGACCCCCTATTCTAGGATGGATGAGTGTCAGGAAGATGATACTTAGAGAGGGCCCAACTAAAGTATAGCAGATTCCAAGACCGAGACAGGTGAAGTTCTGGCTCCCAGCTGGAGGTGGGGGGGGGGGCAGAGGGGCGGGGACTGAGAGTTTCTAGGCAGTTCTAAGGACCCGGAAGCATCACCACCCACCAGCTGAGAGCCCAGGGCTGGAAGGCCCCACAGAGTGACAGCGAAGGTCCTGCTGACGGAGGGGGCTTTGCTGTGCCTGAACCCAAACCCCGGCAGGAGGAACCAAGTCCATCACTAGAGAGCAAGACGGCAGAGAAGCGAGACCTATGGGGGCAGAAACACCAGACCCAGGCTTGGGGGGGGGGGGGGCGCCCTCCCCGCCCCTCCGTGCCCCTGCCCCCGTGCCTCTCCCAGGCTGGAGCCTGGCCTCAGCAAGGCGTGCCCAGGGGCAGGAGCGGGGGCGACTCCCTGGGCTTGTGGAAGTAGATGGAGGAGGGCGCGGCGGCCTTGAGCTTGGTGTCCGAGGCGCGGGCGGCTGAGGCGCCGCCGCACCCCCCCCAGCAGCAGCAGCAGCAGCCCAGGAAGGCCTGGCCCAGCGGCCTGCAGGTGCACAGGAGGAGCACGGGTGTGATGGCCCCCTTGGAGAAGGCGGAGAACTGGTTGATGAGGCCCAGGAGGTCTAGGGTCTGGCGAGTCAGCTCCGTGGAGAGGTAGGCCACCACAACGTTGCAGACGTTCTCGGGGAGGGCGCAGAGGGCGTAGACCACCGTCAGGCCCACCACAGTGCTGTTGAGCTGGCTCTCACACTGCTCATGCTTGTCGGCCCGGCACTCGGGCTTCCTCCCCAGAGGGCCCCGCACCCGCCACGTCACCAGCTGGCAGGTGACGGTGAAGAGGACGGGCAGGCAGAAGTAGCAGCCGAAGTACCACCACATGCGGGCGTTCTGGTAGGTCATCACCAGCGAGTAGAGCGACCCGGGCAGGCTGGCTGACGGTTTCATGATGCATGAGTCCAGGGTGCCCGTGGTGGGGGCAGGTTCCTGCGACAGCTGCCACAGTAGGAGCTCAGGCACGGCCAGGATCACGGAGCCCACCCAGATGATGGCCAGCTTGGCCAGGATGGATTGGCACCGCTCGATGGGCCTCACCTTGGGCAGGGTGCTGGTGGCCACGTGGAAGCGGTCGATGCCCAAGGCGCAGAGGCTGAAGGTGGTGACTCCCAGTGAGGAGACCTGTGGGCAAAGGTGTGGAGGAGAGGAGCATGTGGTCAAAGCCAGAGGGCCTGGGG